GAAGCCGGGAGTGGGCGGGGGAGCGGTGCGGGGCCAGATTAGACGGTGCCGGACTGGGGGTCCCTGCAGGAAGGCGCCTTCGCACTTTGGGGGTCCGGCTGACCTGGGGAGAGCCCCGTAGTGGGTGGCCACAGTCACCCGAAGGGGGGAGGAAGGGAGGTGGCGAGTCAGATCCACGGAGTTGGGGGGTGGGAAGCGGGGGGTGGGGGGGAGCTGCCAGTTGAGAAGGAAATCGCCGAATGCGAAGCCCTGGGGAGCGCACGGCGCCCCGAGCCGGTTTTGTGCGGCTGGAGGGAGCGTCTCGGTCATCCCAGAGGTTCAAGGCCGGGAAGAAAGCGCTCGGTGCGAGGGGCGCAGCAGCTAAAGATGGAGGATGGGGGTGGGGTGGGGCCGAGTAAGGGGGAGAAGGGAGACGGGAGTCTGGTCGGCTCCGAAGGAAGGAGGTGCCTTTTTGGCGTGGCGAATGGGTTTCCCGGACCCGTGGGACTCCCGGACCTTGGCTGGGGGCGCCGAGGAGTGCGAGGTGCACGCGACAGCGTGACCCCGCAGGCAGCGCACCGGAGCGGGCCCGGGCTCCAGCCCCGGCCGTGGCTGCCTCGCCTTCCCGCTAACCTGTGGGCTGCCTCTGGCCAGTGCATTTTTCCGAGTCTGTGTTTCTGAGGACGCGCGGCGCGCCCCGCCGCGCCCGGGCTGGGAGGGTGTGAGCTTGAACCTGACAGCGGCGGCCCCTAACGGCCCAGCCCCACTCTGAGCCCAGACCCGGGGCTTAGCAGGTTTCGCCTGCACCGCTAACGCTGAAACCCGACGCCCGGTGCCTTTCCCCGCCTCCCCTCCCCACCCCCTTCCAGAAAAATAAAAATTGCAGAATCCCTGGATTCGATCGCACACACCATGCGCGGTACGAACCGCATTCTTTTCATGAATATTCATCGAACGCTTGGCTGGGCTCCTTATCTGCTTCCCCTGAGACATTTCCGCCTTGAAACGGACTCGGGGCCAGCCTTTGCCTGCGAAAATTTCTGCTGAAATTTGCACGGTGCACATGGGTGCTTTTTTAGTACCTAGAGCAGGGTCGACACACCTCGGTCTCCCGCGAGGCCACTGGGACTCGTGTGTGGCGGGTTAACCTCAGGCACCAGCATGGAGGTGGTCGTCCTGCTAACGGGGTCGACCGTTTCCCCGCCGCGGGATCACAGTGGGGGCTAACATCCCCTGTACTGCGGGCAAAATGAATGAATCGGGGCTGTAATTACCTATTCCTTTGTCTTGGCCTCGCGCATGCGCCGGAGAGCAGGGTGTGGAAGGCCCGGGCAACCCCATCTGATCTCCCCATCACCCACCCACCACCCACCCACTCCATTCCAAATCAGAGGAACAAAGGCGTTTGCCCTAAATGTTGTTCCAGGCACGCTGCGCCCTTGGGCTCAAGTGACATTTCCCCCCAGCCTGTTCTTTTTTGAGACCATCTCTCTCTCTTGCTTTCTTGGGGATTTGGACCGATAAAAAAAAATAAGATTAGCCGCTGATGAGGGCAAACTGGATAAATGTTTCTTATCCGCACACTGTCCATTGTTCCCGCTGCCTTAACGTTGCACTGCAGTGATGGCGGCTCTTCCTTTGCATCAATTAACCGTTTGTCTGACAGATCTTTGTTGCTGGCCACTTGATTAAGGGACGCTGGTCTCCAGAACGACAGTGGGTAGGTATTGACTGCAGAGATGCTACTTGGGAGATACTAAGGCATCTTGGCATTTGTAGAAACAAGATGGCCTACAGACCCCACAGAGGAGAAAATGGTTACCTCGCCAGGATCCTAACCCTCTCTGTTTTCTCTTAATTCCTGTCTCCTTGTTTCATTAGGAATCCCAAAGGCGAATCCCATGGAGATGGAAATCCACTGATGGGGGTGAAAGAAGGCAGCTGAGGCTGCTGAGGGCTTGTGGGGTGAAGACAGCAGATTAAGTTCATAATGCTTCCTTTCTTTTTGCAACATCTAACAGAAGCCATGATACATACATCCACCTTTGGCTGCTTTCCCTTCCAGTGATGTATTATCCAGGTTATGTCTCTTGTCGATTTCATGTTGGGCTAGCTGGTTCTACCATCCAGAAGACACTGTGCATCTAAAATAGGAGCTACATCTATTTTTGCCATGGCTTGGGTTGATGCTTAAAAGGAGCGTATGTGTTTTCTGTACACTTTGATGGAACAACACGTGCCAGGGAAATGGAAATCATCTCTTTTGTTCCTTTAAATTAAACCTTGATCTCGGTCAAGGTGACTCTATCAGGGTGTACAATTCGGAAGGCAGTTGCCTGTCATCTGCTCTGATCTTTGATATTTCTCGGAGTGGTATGGTTCTGAAGCCTCTATCTCTTTCTTTGAGGTTGTATAGGGGCTGGGGGGCCGGTGAGTTGGGCTATAGACCAAATTCAATAGCAGATATCTACCATTAATCCCCCAGTTCAGTGTCATAGGTTTTTAAATAAGAAAAAAAATCAAAGTGCATTTAAAATCATATTACCTTATACTTAATGTCAAGCAGCCAATTTTTTGGCGAGGCCTGGCGGGTGGCGAGAGGGAGCTAATTAAGCCTTTTACAAACTGCAGTGCCGGTGAGCCCGTGGACGGTCTTGGTGTGCTTGGAAGAGGGTCCCCTGGTGTCACTGACACCTGCTCCCCAGACTTCCCCGCCCCAGAGCGGCCTCATTTCACTGCCCGTGGGGGACGCGCAGGGCGTTGGCGCTGTATAGCTGGAGGCAGCTTGACAGCTTCCTGGACTCACCAGAACAAGCTATGTTCTAGACGAAGAGGTGATTTGTTCTGCCCCTTTAGTTTTTGTGTGTTTCAAAAAAAATTATATTAGGGGAATTTTAAGTCATTCTATGCTCAAGATAAGTGGGGTATGCTATCAGTGGGGGAGATGTGATCGTTGCAAAATGGGTATGTGTCATTGGGTAAAAAAAAAGACAAAATGCAATTTTAAACTTTTTTATAGCAATTAGGGTACTGTATATGGACATACACAAATGTGAATCCATACACGCTAATATGAAAATATGTGTTGAATATGTATACTTACTGTAATATACAATCTTTCAATGACATGAAACTGAATTGATTGGTATAGAATATTTTCTAGTGCTTCATAGTTATCTGGAAAGTAACCAGTTTTTTGCTTCTCTGAGCATGTGTGTAAAGGGAGTCTAGGTAGTTTACTAAGTAATTTCCAACTTCTATCAGTGTACTCTTAAATAAAAGGATTGCGTTAAACATTTGAGATGAAAACGGTCATTTGCAAGCCTTTAAAAACTCGCCTTAAGCACATCTGACCTTTGAAAGCTGTCATAAGCAATACTTATGAAATAAAGAAATTTACAAAATTTCTCTAATGTTTGTGATCGTTTGTAAAATTTTGTTTTGAAAAATAACCAAAATAGACTTGTCAATTGCCACTTATAAAAAGCAGTTGTCTTTGGTGTCTGATTCTGCTGAAAGAAATGCTGTGATTTGCTTAGGCCTTACTCTTTCTTAAATGTAGCTACATTACACTAACTATATTTGTCAAAAGATGAAAAGCATTTTAAGGATTATCTTAGCTTGTAAACTGGAAATCCAGTAACTGGAGGAAAACTGTGTATACACGAGTTGAATGTTCTTGGCTGGATGGGTGTGAATCTGTCGCTTTATCGTGGTTTCTCAGCTCTGCCTCCTTTCCATTTATTCTGTCCCTGAAGACTTTGGATAACTCGTTTTGACATGAACTTTGCTCTTTGACTTAATATGGTGGAAATAACTTTGAGGTCATGAAGACTGAATTTTTCTAACAGAGAAATACTCTTGATGTATTTGGGGACATATTTTATGGGGAACTTTTTTCTCATGCGTGGTAGAAGGAAACTGGGTTGGCAAATCTCTGGGCATTGCTAGCCCACTTTGGATAACAATGCACTTCAAACCTTTCTGGACTTTACTTTTTGCAAAGATGGGGTAATAATTCCTTATTTGGGGGATGTAATGAGGACCACAGGTATGTCTAAGAAGTGCAAAAATATAAAAGACCCTCAACTGCTCACATTTTCCATACAGCTCGATGTGATTGGCATTACTAATTAACTTCTCTATATTGAGTTGCATTTTTGTTCCATGCTGCTT